AGACTGATCCGGATTCTGGAAAATGATCCCGAGGTCTTTTGGGACCTTTTTCAGAATTTTTCCAACCCTTTCCAGAAATTTCCAAGTCTTTTCCAGACGTTTCAAGATATTTCCAGGCTTTTCCAGACAATATCCAGACTTATCTAGAGTTTTCCAGAGTTTTACAGACTTTATCCAGATTTATCCAGACCTTATACAGACTTGTACAGACTGATTCGGATTCTGGAAAATGATCCCCAGGTCTTTTGGGACCTTTTCCAGAATTTTTCCGACCCTTTCAAGAAATTTCCATGCCTTTTCCAGACGTTTCCAGAGATTTCCAGACATTATCTAGACTTATCCAGAGCTTTCCAGAGTTTTCCAGACTTCATCCAGATTAATCCAGACTTTATCCAGACTTGTTCAGACTGATCCGGATTCTGGAAAATGATCCCGAGGTCTTTTGGGACCTTTTCCAGAATTTTTCCAACCCTTTCCAGAAATTTCCAAGTCTTTTCCAGACGTTTCCAGAGATTTCCAGACTTTTCCAGACAATATCCAGACTTTTCCAGAGTTTTACAAACTTTATCCAGACCTTATCCAGACTTGTCCACACTGATCCGGATTCTGGAAAAGGATCCCCAGGTCATTTGGGACCTTTGGCAGAATTATTCCGACCCTTTCCAGAAATTTCCAGGCTCTTTCCAGACTTTTCCAGACTTTGCCAGAGATTTCCAGACTTTTCCAGACTTCATCCAGATTTATCAAGTCATGTTCCAGACTTGTTCCAGCTCACTTGGCTTGTTCCAGGTTCTTGTTATGTGTTGTGTGTTAATTAAATTGCCGCAAAAACTAATCCGGGCCGTTCGATCAGGTGGCCCCGTTTATACGTATAAAAACAGCTGGTTACTGGGAGCGCGGCGTGACCTTCTCCAACGTAATTGCCGTGTTGCAGCGGGGCCGTTGTGAGATGGGCTCGGACGGATAGTCCAGCGAGTTTAGTTTAGTCAGTCGCTTAAATTATTGCCTAGGAAATTCAGGAATAATAACGACAGAAATTTTTCCGTCGGGATCGAATTATAAAATGATAAGTAATTTGATCTGACGATTGTAATAACTATTGAACTAAAAAAAAAAAAAAAATTTAAAAGGACCGAAATATTTTGCGCCAGTGCCACGGCCCCTTGGCCCCTTAGGGCCAGCCGCCACTGATATATAGTCTGGCAAGTGGTAACTTGGTAGAGACGAAAGGGGGAAGAAAACTGGGGCGTTACCTAAAAATATTCACTGACACCGTCTGATGACAGCCATGTCTTGAGTTCAGTGGCACCGAAAACACCAAGGAAATAAACCAATAAAATTATTAGGAAAAAGATTCTCTAGTTTCGCCAATAACCACGCCACTGCGTGCTGTCGTTCAGGCTCTAACCAATATAATCTTGTTTCTGAATAATCACCCCTCTCCACTTCCATCATTTCGCAATGTAGCCTGATTTTTTCCTGTTTCAAAATATTACACATGCCCATATAGCGAAAAAAAAATAATATGTCACCAACATAAACAAGTTGTTTTTTTTTTTTTCTTTTTTGCTTCTAATTTCCGTCAAGTTTGGCAAAGCAGCAAATTCTTTTGTAGTTCGCCGTTTCGCTAGCCAGACAATACTTCATACCTATCTTCAACTGTTTTGGAAATATTGACAGTTGAAAATTGAGTTTTTTCAACTTTGACAGGCTGTAAAACCTAAACGGTAAGTTTAGAGGAAAATGATCATACATTCTCATCTTAGATTTTTATAAAATATCATTTGACAGTTGACACCAACTTTGAATTTAACCGGAGATCAAATTTAAACGGAATTTTTAATTATGGATTAAATTCAGAGTTGGTGTCAAATGATAGTTCATAAAAATCTAGGACAAGAATGTAAGATTGGTTTCCCTCTAAAATTAACCGTTTAGGTTTCACAGCCTATCAAAGTTAAAAAAAGTCAATTTTCAACTGTCAATATTTCCGAAACAGTTAAAGATAGGTATAGTATCACATGAAATTTGCTCAGAATTTTACGTAGAATCCAAATTTGGAATCACATACAGGGTGTCTCATTTAAAATAAGCAAGTTGACGTCTACTTCCGCTATTACTGGAAGTGCCACATTCTTGAAAATAAACTACTCTACTGAGTAGTTTATTTTGGAACGAACCTATTACTATAGGTTCGTTCCAAGCATAAATTTCACCAATTTTTGAGACGCGACAACTTTTTAATAAATTTACGGAAAAATATGCCGTTTTTACCGTTTTTGAAAGCGATTCCTTGTTAATCATCTGCTTTACACAAAAGATATAGAATTTGAGTGTTTTTTTTTTTATACAGGGTGATATAGGAAGTGCGGTAAAATGTCAAAATTTTTGTTGCCACCCCGTTTCTACAATTATTTTTATTTATTTTTTCTCAGCATATCCGAATGATTATTATGTTCATCCCTCGAACCATTTTTGGATTTTTTCTTATATCTTTTTTTGTTTAAAAAATAATGCAAATTTAGTGTTATAATGACACCCAGAGCTTCAAACCCATCGTGATCAAGTTTAAGCAGTAACTTAGGATCCGCTAGTTTAAATTCACTTGATCACAATTAAAACTAACTGACGTAAAAAAACTTCATACAAAACATACAGGGTCTGTAAACTTGAAATTTCTAGTTTTGCATAATTTTGCCTTATTCTACAAAAAAGAAAGTGTCAAGGACGGAAAATAACTATAGACTTACTTTGAAGGCTTTTCATCACTTCTGCAACTTAATCCAAAAAAAAAAATTTCGAGGTTTTTTTTGTCATACATTTTTTCAGAAAGTTACGTCATAATTTGTAAACCTATAAAACAGTTTTCTCCTCAATTTCTTGATATTTGCTTCCATCAACAGGTCCTAAAAGAATAAATATTTCACTTGCTAACATTTGGGACGAATTTTCACTTGTATACAAGGTGTCCCCAAATCAATTACCGAATGAATGTGTCTCCTTTGAATTTCTCAATTTAATATATATTTAATAGGTATTTAATTTGTTTATTTTGTAAAACCGATCATACAGTAAGTGGCGTCATCTAAAAAGCATATGATTTGGGGACACCCTGTACACAAATAAAAATTCGTCCAAAATGTTAGCATTGCAGAAATGATATAAAGCCTTCAAAAAAGTCAAAATTTATTATCCGTCCTTGACACTTTCTTTTCTGTAGAAAATGGCAAAATTATTCAAAACTAGAAATTTCAAGTTTAAAGTATCCTCGCACACTTTGTATGTTTTGTATAAAGCTTACATCAGTTAATTTTAATTATTATCATAGCAAGTGAATTTAAACTAGCGGATCCTAAGTTACTGCTTAAACTTGTTCACGATGGGTTTGAAGCTCTGGGTATCATTATAACACTAAATTTGCATTATTTTTTAAATAAAAAAAGATATAAGAAAAAATCCAAAAATGGTTTGAGGGATGAACATAATAATCATTTGGGTATGCCTAGAAAAAATAAATAAAAATAATTGTAGAAATGGGGTGGCAACAAAAATTTTGAATTTTAACCGCACTTCCTATATCACCCTGTATAAAAAAAAAACACTCAAATTCGATATTTTTTTGGTAAAGCAGATGATTAACAAGAAAACGCTTTCAAAAATGTTGAAAACGGCATATTTTTCCGTTGATTTATTAAAAAGTTTTCGCTTCTCAAAAATTGGTGAAATTTATGCTTGGAACGAACCTATTGTTGAGTAGTTTATTTTAGCCGGGTTTCCCCCATCGACATTAGTATACTGCCAAATTTCCAAACATTTTCTGAATATAGTTCTTTATGTATAGATCGATTTTTTTCCCGGTGGGTCACCCTGTATACAGGGTGTATATTTTAAGTGATACCACTATTGCTATATCTGGATCGGTAAGAGCTACAAGGACGGTTGAATTAGAAAAAAGTTCCCTTTTTTGATGCCCATTCAAGACTTGTTTACAGTGTTGCCAAATTCCTACTAGTTTACGAAATACAGGGTGATTTCCAAAAAGCACCTAAAATTATTTCATCAATTATTTCGAAAACCATTGATATTTGGGACACAACTTAAATTTGAAAGTTTTCTAATTTTTTTTTTTTTTGCTCTACAACATGGCATCTTCAAATTTCAAATCCGACGTTTCGTGATCGAGCTACCATCATCAACTTCATTTTTTTTTAATACGGACCCAGATTTTTATGTCATTTTTAGAAAGGGCAAGAAAGGCGCTTTTTTACGTAGAATCCAAATATGCAAGCATATACAGGGTGTCCCGTTTAAAATAAGCAAGTTGCCGTCTACTTCCGGTATAATCGGAAGTTCCACCATCTTGAAAATATTTTAGCCGATTCGATAATTTGAGTTATAGCTACCTTTTTTTTTGGATAGTCCAAAGATCAAAAAGATGTATAGAAAAATTTCCACGATCAAAAATTGAGAATCTGATATAATATAGCCCCAAACTTTGCTCACCCTGTAGGTATAAGTAGATAAAGGAAAGAAATATACTGGTCGAACCCTGTAAAGTCTGTCGATTTTAATCTGACACTCGAAAGGAATGTGAGCTACATTAGAACGCCAATGGTCACCTGTCGTCACACTTGCTTTTGCCATATACTTCACCCCCTGGCTCCTCATACGGAAAGTGTCAGATAAAAGTCGATGAACAATACGTGTTCTCAAGGAGTTGGTCAAGAATCTCCCGAATACTGCAACTCGATATCGCTGTCCGTTCCGAAAATATCGAGATTTGAGTTTGGGTCAGTTTACTTGTGTTTTCTCAAGTGTCTCTTTTACATGTATAGGTGACGTGAATTTCTTTCTTTTGGAAAAAATATTTAAAAAAATATCCAATTCCCTATCGACACGTCAGAGCTTAATTCTTTGAATATCGAAAATTCGTTCTCGTTTTTTTATCCCAAATGCCTTTTAAGGACGTACCTATTCTTTAATAAAAATATAGCTCTTACCCATGAAAAATATTGTAGCTGCCTTGCCTCAAAATGCTCCATCCATCCTCCTAAGTTCTTACAAGTAGCTGGCGCTAGTTTCCTCCATATATTTGGCAGTTGTCCGTTAAACAACGAATAAGCCACGTTGTCCAAAACACTGTCCATGCCAATTTCCCCTGCCAGAGCTTTTTTCAATTGAATTAGAGATCTTCTCATGGCAGAGATGAGTTTGTTGAAACGCTCCAGCTCTTGTAGTAGTACAACTATAGTAGGCGACATCATTCTTTGGAAATAGCGTCGCACTTTCCATACTTCGTATTCTTCTGGGATTTTTTTGAGAACATCGTTAGCTACTGCTTCGATGAATTCTTCTCTACTGATACCTTTTTCAGAAGTTGCTATAAACACGTTACAATATTAATACTGAACTTTTTTATTGGTGCTTTTGACTTACAAACTTGAGGTTGCAACTCAATCAAAATATTCCACATTTCCTTTGTAGCTTGAGTATAGTATCCAATTTCTGCATTAGAATGAAGTCCGAAAACTTCTGGACTGTTTGCCAAAGGTAATTCGTCAATAAAAGCTGCAATTTTTACATTTTAACGTAGTAACTGATTGAAACAGTATAAATATAGGTAATACTACCAATATAATCTTCCTTATTGCCATCTTGCGGTATAACATAATCAACAGTATCATCCTGATAAAAATGGAATGGCTGAAATGTATCAAACAAAAAATCTCCCATATATTCATCCATATAAGTAGCGACTATCCTTCTGTCAAAATCGTCAATCACCCTGCCGCCATACATCACCTCTCCAATCAAATATTTCAAACTATTCCATGGTATTCTAGGATCTTTTGCCTTAAAGGCTTTAGTCAAATAAGTATCCAGAATCTGAACGCATACGTTGAAATCAGACTCGTTAAAATCATAGCAAATATTCCAGCCGATTTTGTCATATTTTCTGCGTTCTTGAACTACCGCATGGAAGAAAGCCAATACGTAGACGAGTGGCTTGAAGGATGCATGTGAGCACGAGTCCAGAAGTTGGCCGCGCATTTTGAAAAAGGTGTTACGCAGGTTCAGCTTAAGTCCGTTGGGTGGTTCAGTGACAACTTTTAATGATCTGAAATTTTATTAATATATAGTTTAACACAATTCAACTCGTAGACACCAATCATTAAGATGAAGTTGAAAAGGCAAACTACATACGGCCATTTGCATCGCTATAACTTAAGGGATATTTAATCCAAGTGGAGCTTTGAATGTGACTCTCGTAGAAACAAAAGTTACATTCAAAAGCTCCACTTGAATTAAATATCCCTTAATTTCCCTTAAGCGATAGCGGTGCAAATGGCCAATAGTGAATTCACATGCTGCTAGATATGGAAAACAAGCCTTAAGCAATTCTGAACTTATTGATCTAGCAAGCAAGTTTCTTCTGACTAATTCAGGAGCTGAAATGGTGTCTCCAGCAGCTCAGAATTATTTGGTTAAATGGTTTAATTATGTTACCTTTGCAGAATTCCAATAGGAAACGTGGCGACGGGATCTGTAGTCAACCACAGACGAAAATCTGGATGAGGCTTGCTAATTTTTTCAATGTGCTTTTCCAGGCGCTTGATAAAGGCCAAAAGCAAGTGGCAATTTTGGAACATTAGCCATTGGCCTCTGGATATGGCAGTGTCCAATAATTGTAGGGCAGTGGTTTCTTGGCCTTGACCAAGGGAAAGATAACGGAATTTACCTCCACCAAAACCACACCTATAAGTTTAGATAAACAATTGGTAATAATGATAAAACTGCCTGACAGCGAAGCCGCGAAAAACTTTATGAAGGAATTTGTATTTTGATTGTTAAGTCATGGCAAAGCAGTAAGTAGGTACTCAGTTTCGCTGCGGATCCATGCAGTTTCGAGTCCACAGCGAAAATTTACCAAGTCAGTTATTTTGGAATGGTTAACCCTGTTTTTAATCGAACATAAAGCCCTATTTATATCAAAACTGATGAAGAAAAAATATCAAATTTCTTACCTATCTGCTAACTTCATTAAATCAGCTGTAGGATCAGATCCAGGGCTCAAGATGAACACAACCGGCGTTGTCGGACTACATTGCTCAAAAATACTATCCATGCTGATCACCGGGGGCATGATATACTCTTCCCCCATAATTTCAGTTATATAGTCTCCCACGGCCCTATAAACTCTGTCTATTCGAAAACATCTTAGCAACAAGAGCTTTTGGAAGGGTTTCAAAGTTGTACTGTAGTCGAAAGGAAACTCTGCGGCTTCAGGAGCATCCATATCGTACCAGTTCTGCCATATTTCGATATTACGTTCGAGTTGATTTGGCAAGTTTTCGAATTGTAATGGAAAGTCGGTGGAAAGCTTTAGAATGTTTTCCCAGCCTTGAGAGGCGAGCCATGTCGCTGGACGTTCTCGAGTGGATTTTTCCAAACTTATGCTACCCTAAATGAAAATTATATTCCAGATAATGTATGTATAAGTTACGGTTAATATGCAAACTTGGCTAGTTTATAAACTAGCTGGATAGTTTGCAAACTAACCAACCTACTGGCTATTTTGATAGAAAACACAATTTTCACTAAAATAGCAGCTGGTTTGCAAACTAACCAAGAGTCTTGGCTAATTTACTCGAAATTATTGAGGAAACTGAAATAGCTGGTTAGTTTATAAACTATCCAATGAAGTTTGGCTAATATGAAAACCATATTTTCTAGTAACACAAAATAGCCAAAACTTGGGTAATTTACAAACTAGCCAACCAATTTTCTGGCTAATTTACAAACAAAGTTAGGTTAGAGAATTTGAAGCTTCTTTAAAAGATCTGTATTAGTTATTTACATTACAAGTGCGTTTATGAACTGATTACAATAACGAGTGTGAAAGATTAAAACGACGAGGTCGTAGACCGAGTCGTTCTAATCACACGAGTTTTGTAGTCATGTTTAAACGCACGTGTGATGTACAGGGTGTCCGAATTTGGATGGTTTTATTAGGAAACATCAATTTCTGAGCAAGATACAAAAAAATGAACCCCCCACTCCGAGGCTCAATTTTCTTGAAATTTTGATTGGTGCAAACCGCATTTTGATATCTTCAACCGTTTAGCCACTAGAGGGCGATTCTCGATTTTGAGCAATAATGTGAAACCATCATAACTTTTTTGTTTATGAAAATTATTGATTTCCGTAAAACTTTCTAGAAGCACTTTTTAAAGCAGAATTCAGTGACGTTCTCAGGTTTTTTCTAGTTGGTCCCAACTCCGAGATATTGACCAAAGTCTGTTGTTTTTCAATAGGACACTCTATATATTAATAGCTCATTAGGAAGCTCGGCTTTTTCTGATTTCAATGATGAAAGTTCGATAGGTTTATCTCTAATAGTTTTCGAGAAAAAAATTATTCCGGTTTTTGTCATAAGAAGCAATGTGTAAGAAAAGGACTTTATATCTGCAAGGAAACTGAGATAGGTCTCTTTCTAACTCATTGTTTCTTATGACAAAAGCCGAAATATTTTTTTCCTACGAGCGTGCGCAAAGTAGTACTTTTCCGCACGCATTTCCGGGCTCAAAGTTACACTTTTCCGCACTCAGTGCGGATACAGGCCTTATCCGCACTGAGTGCCGAAAAGTAATTATAATTGTCAAGCAACAATAAGTGCACCTGTCGACTTTGACACATGATGACAAATTTTTCCTCTATTTCTATATCAGCCAACATCTATACAAACACCAATTATAAATTAACTTTGACCCATCAGATTTGTTCTCTATTTATATGCAAAAATCTATAAACTTTCTCATCAAATTTAAACGCTTTAAGATGAACAGCTCTGACGAGGATTTTCTGTTATTTGTTTCTGTTATGTAATTTTTTGATAAATGCATAGGTTCCTTTCAAGTTAATTAAAAATAATTAAACAAATTATCGTTTTTTTTTTTTTTAATTTTTGTTATTACCTACCTGATATGAAGCTCGTAGGAAAAATGTTGTTCCTAACACGTGCGCAAAGTGTCTTTTCCGCACGCAAACACGTATCCGAACTCCGCTTCGCGTCGTTCGTATAACTGTGTTTGCGTGCGGAAAAGTAACACTTTGCGCACTTGTTAGGAAAATAACTATTTTCTCGAAAACTGTTAGAGATAAACCTATCGAAATTTGTATCATTGAAATCAGCAAAAGCAGAGCTTTCTAATGAACTATTAATATATAGGGTGTCCTATTGAAAAAAATCGTATTTTGGTCAATATCTTGAAATCGAGGCCGAATAGAAAAAGACTGAAAACGTCACTGAATTCTGCTTGAAAAAGTGCTTCTAGGAAGTTTTTACGGAAATCAGTTATTTTCATAAACAAAAAAGTTATGAAGATTTCACAATATTGGTCAGAATCGAGAATCGCCCTCTAGCGGCTAAACGGTTGAAGATATCAAAATGCGGTTTGCACCAATCAAAATTTCAAGAAATTTGAGCCTCGGAGTGGGGGGTTCATTTTTTTGTATCTCGCTCAGAAATTGACGTTTCCTATTGAAACCATCCAAATTCGGACACCCTGTACAACGTTTTATCTACAAAGCGAGAAATAAGAATGTTTTTTCAATTAATTTCGTTTATTAGTAGTTGTCTACCTTCATTTTACCTTTATAGGTTAACCTTTGACATTTGTCAAATCACCAAAAATAGTTGTGTTATAGACTCATAACCTCGTCCATAACACCACTAGTTGTGTTATGAATTCATAACCAAGTCTATAACACCACTAGTTGTGTTATGAGTCTCATAACATAACTCAATTACTAGAAAAATGGTTATGTAAAAACGTCATAACCAAACGCTTGTAGATAAAATAATAAAGCAAATAATTCCGAACTTTACAACGAAGGAAATCTGGCAAAATAATAGCTTGTATTGTATGGACGATTTGTTTGATATTATACAATGATACAGAGGTTATTCTAAGGATTTTTTCCACTGCACATAGAGGAAATAAATCACCGTATGTATTACCATGATATGATATGTATTACTAACATACATTCACATAATACATAATATGTTTTCTGCGATTGACGAGAAATGTTATCATTTTTGACCGGTTGACAGGTCACAAAACTCGAAATACTGGTATTTTCACTGGTTGCTAAGGAATCGATGGATAATGGATAACAGTACAGGAATAATTTTTCCCCTAGGCCGAGAAAGTGATTACTAAGGGAGGAATGGATAACAGTACGGGAAATACTTTTCCGGCCTACTAAGGAAGGAATGGATAACAGTACGGGAAACAATTTTCCGGCCTAGGTCGGGAAAGTGTGCTGATCCAGGAATATCACAAAAGCATTCCTCATTTTTTTTATTCCTGAGCGAAAGCTAGAAAAAATAATATGTATATTTTTGAGGAGAAGCACATTCTCGGCCTTTGGTGTTTGCCGGCGTCGGCTGCGCCTCGCGCGTCAACTTACACCGTCGGGAGAATGTGTCACTTTTCCACTTAAATAAACAATATACTATTTTCTATTTTGGTTTCATAATAACTCATGAAACGCATCTGACATTACATTAATTGGAGTTTTATAAAAGCAGTGGCGGCTAGTGACATCCTAGTTTGGTTGTGAACTCTTTAAAAAAATGCGCCGCAGGCGAAAATTTTTTGGGAGTCACGTCATTTTTTACATTTTTCACAATATGCCTTATCTGTCAGAGTGGAATCCTTGACAAGCCACTATGGTTTGGTTAAATGAGCGTCAGCACAGAGTCAAAAAGAAACAGCACAGGCCAAACAACAAAGATATTTTTGCTGGAGGCCAATGCGGATGAGGTAAACGAAGAATTTTAGGTAGTGCTGGGGAAAAATTAGCAATAAATTTTAGAATAAATGTAATGTATTCATAGTGCTATTGTATTCTCATATTATGTAACATATTATGTCAACTAAATTATTTCTTCGTAATACATTGAGAAAATAACTACACAGATTTTAATTTTCCACTGCACAATTTACTTTTCCTACTGCACATTTTGTGTCCAACTGCACGTTAGAATAACCTCTGCAATGATATTATTAAAGAATCCCACCAATCAACTGGGCATGGCGAAAGGCAAGCTAATAAATCAAAAATATTCAAATATTACCCAAAAAATTGTAATTTTGTTCCTCAATGGATGTGAGAATTGCCAGGTAAAAAAAGAAAAAAGCAAAAATTTTTATATTATTCATCTCTAATTTATCGAATAACAAATACCATGAACATTAAACTTTATTTGTAAACTAGCCAGAAAATTGGTTGGTTAGTTTACAAACTAGCCAAAGGTTTGGCTATTTTGTGTTACTAGAAATCATGGTTTTCAAATTAGCCAGGCTGCATTGGATAGTTTATAAACTAACCAGCTAATTTAGTTTTATTAATAATTTCAAGTAAATTAGCCAAGACTTTTGCAAACTAGCTGCTATTTTAGTAAAAAGTGTGTTTTTTATCAAAATAGCCAAGAGGTTGGTTAGTTTGTAAACTATCCAGCTAGTTTACAAACTAGCCAAGTTTGCATATTAACCCTAACATATACGGGTGTTAATAAATAATGGGATCAAACTTCTAGGATAAATAGTACTCATTAAAATTTAAAAAAAGTTGATAGAAACATAGGTCCGCAAATGCATCGCATGTCAATATTTTTTTATAACTTTGATATTTTTGCAGATTGAGTCATATTACATCAAAACTTAAAAGATACCTTTTGTTATCACAAACAAAGCTGCCAAATTTGGAAAAGAGAATTGGAAAAGGGATTTTTGAGCTGAAAAAACCAATTTTTTTTTTTTTTTCAAACTTTGACACCCTGTATCTTGAAAACTAAGCATTCGCGGACCCATTTTTCTATTAACTTTTTTCTTATTTTAATGAGTATTATTTATCCTAGAAGTTTGATCCCACTATTTATTAACACCCTGTATATTAATAGTTATTTATACACCAAGTGAGTTAAATGAATGTTTATTCATAAGCAGAAATTTATTTTTCAACTTACGTGATGTATACAAAACTTCATCGCACTTTTATGGAAATTCAGACAAAAACTTAAAGGAATCAAGTTATATTTATTTTCCTACGACCACATACGAAAATGACAAAATCCGCACTAGCTGATTCTTTGGAAAGCGCGAAATATCACACACGTGCTGAAAGTACT